ATGGGCACAAACTGAAGCAGAAGAGGTTCCAGGTGAACATCAGGAAGAACTTGTTGACTGTGAGGGTGCCCGAGCCCTGGCCCAGGCTGCCCAGGGGGGCTGTGGAGTCTCCTTCTCTGGAGATCTTCAACCCCCGCCTGGACGCTGTCCTGTGCCCCCTGCTCTGGGTGAGCCTGCTTGGGCAGGGGGGTGGCACTGGGTGAGCTCCCGAGGGCCCTGCCAGCCCCGGCCAGGCTGGGATTCTGTGAACTCATTTTTCCTTTAAGACCTTACTATGCAAATTATTTGAGGGACCTAAGATTTAACCCACCTATTACTAAGTGAGGAAATAGCTTCAAGATTTTAAAAAAATGTCCATTTTATCCAGAAGCGTCAGAAATGCGGGGCTTGTTAGAGTAACTTAAGACAGAAACTCATACAATAACACACTTTGTGCATGTTACAATCTGGAGAACTACAGTGGTTCTTTAAGATTTGTTATTTTTAAAGGGAGCACAGAAAAATACATTCCTTACAAATCTTCCGTCCTCCTCTATGTTCAGCTTTTAACCCACCACGTAATTGTCCCTTTACGCAGATACTGCTTACTCTTAACTTGTCATTCACAGGAAAATACTCAAACTTGAAGATGAATCAATAAACTGTCCAGATTTTGGTTACAAATCACCTTGTTCTGCAATGAAGTTGCCCAAAGCTTAAGAGATTACATTGAAACTGAACTGAGCATTAAATGAAATTTATCTTTTTTTCACTAGAAAGTTAGTTTTAGCAATTACTGTTCTAAACCAGCAGTTTACAAAACATTTTGAGAGAAGGAGATTAGGATCATTCTTCAGCTCGCTTTACATTAGTTGTGCTTGGACACATTAAAGATGTAGTTGCAGTTTGGGGGGGCTGCAGACAGCGATTCATTTTTATATTTACATAACCCAAGAAGCATCTTGCAGGCTGAGGTGGGACAGCACCACGTATACGTGCTCTCTAGTTCTCCAGATCTACAGAAACCAATCCCTGAATGGAAAAGTTCTCGGAGATGGAAGAACGTCAGTCTCACAGCCGCGCTGTTACTCCAGCCTTCAGTCCAAATCAGCTTAACCTGCTGTTTCTGGAGCTCTAGCGCCCAAACCCCAAAGCCTGTTTTCACATCATCCCTCTACCTTGTGGATGTCCCCTGTTCCCATCAGAGATGCTTTAAGTTCGCCTTCGGTGGGGTCAGAGCAAGTACACCTGATGCAATGAGAAGTTCGTTCTGTTTCTTCAGAAATAGCGCATGAAATCTTTCAGCTGCGTTTCCCAGATGGATTTAGCTCCCAGAAACGCCATTAGAACCACTGCTGCTACCACGAATGCACCGATCAAGAACTTTTAACCAACCATCGTTACCCATCGTGCCCCAAAGGCACTTGTACAGCAGTGACAGTGAGCTCGTGACGATTTCTCACCGCCGTAATTTCCTCAGAAGGGAAGCGTTATTGTACCTTCACTTCACAAAGAAGGAATTGAAGCACAGAGACTGCAGAGGTGCCTACCTCGGTTTCAAGTAAATCTACGCCAAGTTGCCTTTCCTGATCGACAGCAGATCCATGGTTCTGCATCAGCAGAGCATTTCGGTCTCCGTGCTTAACAGAACGACACCTCAAGCTTTTCAGCTCAGAAAGCAACTGGAGCACCTATAAATTCAGACTATGTGATCCTTGGCTGTTCTGCTTCCAGGATCATCTCAAAGTGGGAGAGCAAGGGGACGGAGAAAATGGATGGTTCTATTCATGGGGATTTAGGTCAACTCAAGCCACTAGCACAGACATAGCCCAAGCGACTGAGTCAAGGTAGCAAGGTTTGCCAGAGCTGGAAATTGAACCAACCCTTACACTACCAGTCTGGCTCCCATCTTAATTCACTACTGTGAGAAATTACCCACTTTTAAAAGTTCCACATGAATCCTAATATTCCAGTGTCACACACAGCTTTTTAGCGTCCAACCTAAACAATGTCTCAGCTCCCAGAGCCAAGACAAAACGCAGGCTCACATGCAGCCCTTCCAGACAACTGACTATTCCTTATTCCATTTCCAAAGCAGTTTTTTTAATAAAACTACTACCCAAGAATTTGAAGTGTTGAGGGACTTTCATTCCCAGTCACTCGCTTCTCTTCCCCACCAGAGAAGTCGGAGTGTACAGAGAACATTAAGGTTACTATAGCAGGTTACATGGTCATAGCACACCACAAACCACTGGCTCTGAGGATTCCAAAACAAAGCCAGGATCCTCCCTGGATAATCAGTGACTTATCCTCGAAGTCAGGATCTGAAGCAAAATAAAAACCCACCAGATTTCAGTAGCAGATAAAAACGCAGAAAGATCATACAAGGACGGGAGAAGCAGGGAAGAGAAAGGAATTATTTTCCCATGGGAGGTGGGAAATAAAAATTCATGTAAAGCAAAAAAAATGCTGAGAAGGTAAACTTGGAAGATCTATGCTGTTTGAAATTATCTTCCTCATTCCCAATCTCTGAAAACTGCCAGAAGTCAGCTCAAAAAGATTTTTAAATGGAAAAGATGTACCCATACACAGGAACTAGACCTAAGCTAGACCTCATTCCTTTCAGCTCTCAGCTTGATTATGAGAAACCACCACCAAAACTCTAGCAGTCTTCCCCCCGTTCCACACTACTTCCTTACCAGTTGTAGTCGAACCAAGATGCATAGCTTGGAATAATGATGTGGTTGGTTTGTTCTGTGACGTTATCTTCACCTGGATCAATCGAACGGCTTTGATCGCCTTTGTTGGGATCTTCATCTTCCTGTACCACGGAGGGAATACAACGGTTAGTAGGCTGCAAGAGACATAGCTCTTGACCAGCACAAAGTTAGTCCAAAACAAGCGCTTTCCAACCCTGTGCAGAATAAACTTTTCCTGACGCAATCTCTGGTCAGCGGGGAAAATCTCAGGGACCAGAGAAAGTGTAATCTGTGTCCATAGAAATATGAAAGCAAGCATAAGGCTGGCAAGAAGTTTTTACAGAGCCAGCTCTCAAATCTCAAGGACGTACTTGGCAGTGCAGTGAGATCACGCTTTGCGTCCTGTTTACAAAATGAAGCACGCTCCAACTGTGGGAGCAAACGCTGCGTTTCGGTTCTGCAGTATACTGCGACCACGTGTAACGAATACGGCACGCGTCTGGCGTCCTCTGCAAGCTGTCAGCCCAGCTCTCGCTGCCATCTCCAGTTACTGACACCGCACCGATTTTTAATATTCTCTGTCATTTAATATTGTCTATTGTATTTTTTTTTTTGCCACTTTTCTTCCATTAACCTTCTCGCCCCTCAGAAGAGTATTAAAGGAAATCATATCCATTACGTCTAGTTTCACTGGAAGACGCTTGTCAGCAGTTGTAGTTTCATGTCTGTAAAACTGCATCTCATGACCCTAAATTCTTGCTCGGATAAACTCACTTTGATCAATCTCAAAGCTGGTCTTGGCTATTTCTCCCTTGTGAAGAAGGGATACTAAGTTCTGTCTGTAACTCTGCACGCCCCCGTATCTCCTTCCTCTCAGAGGGCGAACAGACCCATGAGTTTGCTCGTACAGGGCTGCAAAGACAGCAGCAAGCAAGATTTTAAGATTTCCAAGAAGAGGGACAAGCCTTGGGTCGCTTTCTTTTGCTTCCCAACAGAAGTCCCCTGTGAACACCAGGTATTCTGCAACTTGAGTTCCAGCACACACTTGCCTCCTGATCCCAAAAGACGGAGAAGGGCACGGAGGCAGGACAAGAAGAGGGTCAGGACATGGTATGAACTCTATGAGAAGCCCTCGGGTGCTACCTGAACAGCCCATAGGGGCAACTCAACATTAGATGGTTTTGTTTACCTGAATTACTAATCCAGACAGCTTTCAGAGAAACAACAGACTCTTAAAAACAGCCGAATCCCTTAAAAACACCAAGACCTTAAAGAGTCATTGGTATCAATGACATCTTTTGGGGGACAAAAATCCCCCAAAGATAAAGTACCGTTCTAAATCTATTTAGTGACCTGATAAGAGCTATTCAGAAAATAAATCCTTCCTCTCATCATCCCCTCAACTTCTAACACCCTTCTCTCAAAATGCATTCACTACACAAAAAAAACCAGACCACCATTTAGCACAGGACATAAAAGCAAACTTCTTCCAGTCTAAACATGGGACAAATACTAAGGCTGCTGCATGGTTCCCACAGCTCCAGGCCATTCTACAGCCAGGGATGGAGAAGTTACACTGGAAAAAAAGAGTATTTCCATACTGGAATGGCCTGCTGTTGCAGTAGGCAGGGCAGGTTTCCCCAACATGGAAAAGAAGAATCGTATTTCGGCAATTTCTGTTCACGCGTCTGTATCTAAATACTTAAACCCACCGCTCCCTGGTGCGACACCTCTGCCTAAAACCCAGGAGAACGGCTGCTTACTAGCTAGTCAGTGGTTAGCATGCCCATAGTTGCTGCCTTCCCCCCATTTTAAAACAGGAGAACGGATTTTTGGGTACTTCTGAAAGTACATATAAGAGACGGGACATATGAACTGAAATAGGGTAAAACAAAGATACGTCAGTATGGAGAGACAGTCAGATTTTCTTGATTATGTGTACAACCAATCCAAGGGTCTGCGCAGGACTGCAACCGCATGAACCCAGCAGAGCTGCCATCTCTTCTTACCTGCGTGATCAGGCAACCATCTTATACGAGGCAAGCTGTAAAAACAGTGCCTGGCACACCAACAATGCAATTAAATACAGGAACTGCCCCCACAACTCTATTAGAACGATCAGGAAGCCTAACTGGCGTTTAGATTTAGCCCTGACACCTAAAGAAAAAGCATAACCTTCGAAAAATCTTGCATCTGAAGAATGCTGCTTAGAAAATCCTTTGCATCTGCCTCCTCATTCTCGTTTTTAATATACTAGATCTAAACACACAAAATAATCTCACAGCCTTTGTAGTATTTTTATAATAGCAAAACAACATTCCTATCAGTGACTAATTTATATATGACTTGAAAAACATGACAGGCTAAGCTACTGAAGATGAGATTAAGATCTTGATAGGATAAGGGGGAATGGTTTTAAACTAAAAGAAGGGAGATTTAGAATAGACAAGAGAAAGAAATTTTTTACGCTGAGGGTGGTGAGGCACCAGCCTGGGTTGCCCAAAGTGGTGGTGGATGCCCCATCCCTGGAAACATCCCAGGTTGGGTTGGACAGGGCTGGGAGCAACTGGATCCCAATGCAGATGTCCCTGCTCATGGCAGGGGGTTGGACTGGGTGACCTTGAAAGGTCCCTTCCCACCCAAACCCTTCTGTGATTCTATGATCTCAGTTTTGACTTGGTAAGAAGCGGCTGCTATTACCTTTCCTCCAGTTGCCACTGTCTCCTCATCCTGCTCATCTGAAAGGCAAAAGCAGAGAGAGTTACACTGATAAAAAGCATCCGATTGCTCATAAGCCTTTCTAGCAATGCAACTGCTTAATTGGAAAGAATATTTCATTTGGTTTGGAAGGGAAGTGAAGAGGAAAGCAAAGTGGACCACACCTCATTAAGGCAATCTCGCCCTCATGCAAGCACTCAACTACCCCAGACAAGGGAACAGACACGAATACAGAGGAAGGATAATTAGAGTTTTTCCACACTTAAGAATCCATACCTAAGCACCACCTTTCCCAGGGCCCTAGAGGTAGCCTTGTATAACAGGGTACCGTACACTAGTTTATATCTCTTATGCCAAAGGCTTAGCAAAGCTCAGGGAACCGGTGATTCACACCTTGATCCCCAGTAAGAAAAGAAAGACTCTGCCAGGGAAGGGATTATACGGCAGATTAAAAAGAAAACAAAAGAAGATGCCTACAAGGGAACAGCCTTGCAAGTGAAAGAGAGTCGGTACATTTTGACTTGAATACACACAAAAACTGAATTAATTCAATAAAAGAGTAGAATCTAGATTCCTTTCAAAATTGAGAGATTTAAAAATTGCAGGCTCTGTTGGCCCGCAAGCCAGACTTTACTATAAAACTTAGGGAGGGGGTGCTGGAGGGTGTTGCACATTTGTTTTACCGAGGTCTGCCACCGTTCCTCCTTTCACAGGCGTGTTTTCGCTGTCTTTCTTTGGGTTCACTACAAAAGCAAGCAAGATTGAAACCCTGATAAGTAACCATCAGACAGGATACAATACCAAAGTCCAGCATGCTTTTACAGTCTTCTCAGTCAACAGTTGTGTTGGTCCTGTCTTTGCAGTTCAGGAGAGTTCATCTGTGCAGCTGAAGCACAACAAGCCATTTGTTTGGCTTCTCTCTCATTTCACATCTGAACACAAAGCAGCTTCTATTCCCGCGGTTACGGACCAAGTGCTGTACGTTTTCCACCTGTACAACACGGAACAATTCCTACAAGCAAGTTCAAACCAGGTAAAAACCAAATGGTGTGACACCCAAAATGCTTTGGTGTCCAGGGCTTAACAGAAGGAATTATTTTTCTGACTTATCTTTACCGAACAGGTATTGCATAGATGAACACTTTTCTGAAAAGGATTAAGAACTGAATGCATTTGCCGTGCTGCCAGAGTTCCCACTCATTTAAATGTGCTTATCTCGGGTACCTGGCAGACAATTCATTTCCTCCAGAAAACTCCACACCCTAAAACATGAACTCTGTATAATGGGGGAGAGCGATCCTAAAAAAAAAATAAATCAGCGAAACTGAACATTTCAGTGGATTTTCGTAAACATATTTCAAAGAGCTAAAAGAAGGTGAATCCGCTGCCCTTCTCAGCTGTCCCATTCAAATCCCAGAGTAGACAAATTTAGATGGGCACAGATCACCTGGCCCCATGCTATTTCACAGGTTTCACAGAATAGATGCATACTTTTTCAGTGCAGTTCAAGCAAAAGTTTTAACATTCCAAGAAGCCAGTGCATGCATATTTTACCATTTTTGGGAAGTACCACTTCTTCTATATTAGGTACTGGTGTGGGATCCTCCATGTCCTTTGTAAGATCTTCTTGCTCGTCTTCTTCTTTCTGCCCTCTCCTTTTCCCGTATAAGGCTGCTTGTCTAAAACAGATCATACACAAATTTTCTGCCAGCTGCAACTGCTGGATGTTCTCATCTTGATGCTATTCTTCAGGTATCAGGATTAAAGGACTGGGTTAAAACACGTATGGAAGCACGAATGGTGTAGGAAGTGGTGCTGGTGGAGTTAAAAATATTCCCTGTATATTACAAAAATGAAGTAAACTTCATAAAAAAAAGGTCTTTTCCAGTGTTTCAGGACTGGAGACCACCACCGTATATAGATCTGGATTCCAGCCCCAAACTGCACAGAATGTTGGCAGCACTTCCATGCTAGTGAGACCGAAGGGAGCAGCGGTTCACTTAACATTTGTCCTTTTTCAAGTTGCCATAAGGGCATCTGCTGCACAGAACAGCAGAGGCACCTTAAGAAAAAAGGCTGGCTTGGACGACTGGTCCTGGGGACTGAGGAAGCAGAATCACCCACACCTCTCCTTACAGAATCGAACTCAGGCTTTACATTTGGACAAAAAAGTAATTCCGGTTCTCAGACTCATTCCTTCTCACCTCTGATGATAAATTTCCAGTGTTATTTTAGGAGAGCCCAAGAGGTCTATTAAACGAGACCTGAATTTTTAGTTCAAAAGCGCTCACCTCCATATCCACACATAAACCCCCACAAATAATCTTTTATTTGGATATAATATTGCCTTTTTTTTTTTCTTTTAAGAGCTCAGACTAGCATTGGAAAAAACCCTAATCTGCTTCTGTTAAAGCTGCATTTAAGAAGTGGACTTTAAAGTACCTGGCTCTATAGACAAAACCCTCCTCAATTAAATGCAGTAATTTATGGGGCTATACTTCAAGAATGTATATGTGCTACATGACCGCACCAACAGAACCAGTCTGAGTTATCTATATATAACTTACTGTAAGTCTGAGTTATATTATCAACAGAACCAGTCTGAGTTATCTATATATAACTCAGACTTATAGTAAGTTATATATAATATAAGCCGAATAACTTTTCATTGGATAACTTCTACTCTTGATGCGGCAATGAACCCTGCCACTGGCTCAGATAACCCGGCAGCTTGTGCTAGATTCTCCTCCACCCACGGGCAATACATTTCTACAGAGTAAAGAAGTTACATCTACTGCTCAAGGAGAACCACTCGAGTCTACTGTAGAAATAATTATTCTCCTGTAATCTAAGGCGAGACAAGTGAAATGTGACAGGGATCTCCCCATGAGCATTTCTGCAAGGAAATTTCCCTCAAATGCCAGGATTTCGACACTCACCCTTTTTTCCCTGTCTTTTTTCTCGACTCCACAGGAGTGGGGGGTGGAGAAGGAGAATGCTTTCGCTTCCTTGTACTTGCTGCTGCTTTCCTGTCTCTCCTCTCCGGACTACGTACGGGCTGTTAGAGAAGTCAAGTAGTTAGCTCACCCCACATACTACAGTTATGGAAACTCTACGGCTACACTTTTCCTTAATACACTCTACAAGAGAAGCTAAAAGCAATAATATCACACTACAGGCACCACGTTCAGCTCCACAATACTTCCGTTTGTCAACGTGAAAACCCCTGCATTTTCTACAGCCACCCCCCAGATGCTGCAATGGCTACGTGTTTAAGAACGGGGATTACAGAGCAAGATTCAAATGCTAACGTGTGACTTATTCAACAGACCCTATACCCATGGGGAGTGATTTCCTAGCGAGTACCCTGGCCTCAAGGTTAAATGAACGCGTTTTCAGAGCCCTAACTAACTTCCTGCACTGGGAGGGATACAAAAACTAGTTGTAATAGCACATAGAGTTCAGAAATCAACTATTAACTGATGCTGTTTAACACACCTCTGGCTTCACTGATGAAGTGACCCACACAGAGCAGGTCCTATCTCCTACCGTCCCCAGGAATGGGGGAAAAAATAAAAATCAAAGTGCACACTTACACTTCTGGATAAAGGACATATGTCAGAAGAAAGGTAAACCAGACAGTGTTATCACAGTCTGGGATACTCACAGGGACAATCTTTTTAGCGGGGCCAGCTGGGACAGGACAAGGGGGGATGGCTTTAAACTGAAGCAGGGGAGGGTTAGACTGGATCTAAGGAAGAAATTCTTTCCAGTGAGGGGGGTGAAACCCTGGCAGGGGGTGCCCCGAGAGGGGGTGGAGGCCCCATCCCTGGGACCATTCCAGGCCAGGTTGGCCGGGGCTGTGAGCAACCTGATGTGGTTCAAGGTGTCCCTGCTCCTGCAGGGGGGTTGGGCTGGGTGACCTCGAGGGGTGCCTTCCCACCCAAACCATTCTGTGATTCTATGACCATAGGTACCTCAAACTGTTCAACTACCTTAATTTTAGCAACTTGGAGTCCCTAAAATTTGACTATGCAGCAATAAAGAATATTAACGTATCAACAGGCCACCCATTAAAGCAGAGAACCACCTACCTCTTCATTTTTCATGGAGATTCTCTGTCGAAAACTCACTGATTTCCTGTTCTCATCTACCTCATAATCCTCTTCATTCATCCATTCATTGAATACATCTGTGTCCAAAATCCACTTGGCGTGAACCTAAAGAACAGAACAACATACCAACATGCTGATGGCTTTGGAAAAAATTACGCCATGACAAACCTCACAGGATGAAGGAAACACTCGCAGCTTTGTTATCAGGGTCTGAACGTCCAAATACCTTGTACTGGTTTTACACGTAATAGGTGACTGTTTCAGGAGGCAATACAATAAAGGATGGACTGAATGCTGCGTCTGTTCCTTGGTCACTTTTAAGCCTTGTGAAGTGTGAGGTCAGCTCTCACAGCTGGGACTACGGCTCTGTATCAAGAGCATACTTTGGATGCTGAAAATTACCACCAAAATCTTCAAAATATACAGATCACCTTAGTAGATGTGCCACAGAAGACCAAAAACCTTAAGAAGAGTTGGCCGTTTCTTGGAAAGATTGACCGTCTTGACTAAAAATACCCACCTTCAAATAAAGTTCTAGTTTACAGAGCTGAAAATAAATTCTTGAGCCTTAGAATGATTTATATGCAAAAAGCACGCAGTTCCAGTTATTGACAGGTAACTACTCAGAATAACACCAAGTTATTTTCTGACCTCAGCTGCTCTAACACTGCTGTTCAGCTCAACAGCAGACCCACAGAGCCACACTGCATGTTATGGATAGAAGATTAAGCCAAATAAAAGGACAATAAAGTAGGATTTACTACTGTTCAATTATAACTGTTCTGTATTGTTCGCTTGCAATGAGCTAAATCAGAAAGGCAAATCATTTCTGTAGAAAGAAAACCAATTACGCAGAGAACCTAAATAAGGCTCCTGATGTTGGTTTGAGTGCTCACATGTTCAGCGCTGAGAAGCGCCGACTTTTTGCATCATTACAACATCAGTAAAGAGCAGAGCTCCCATTAAAAGGAACCTTTCAATAAAGAAAGGTGAGAGATGACCCTCAGGGATTCCATAAACAACGACTGGTTTTCTCATTCACCTCCACGCTGGCTCTAACGCTAGGGACAGTACCATTCACACACTACAATTTATTAGCAAGGCCAAGGATTTCAGTAAAATCAAGAAACTGAAACTGTGCCCTGTACTAAGAGGATACAGAAGCTGTTATCTACAGTGGCACTGAGCTAAGCCAACGAAGCCACTGAGCTAAGGCAACGAAGCCAAGAGCTTCTGCAGCAGCGTGAGCCCAGGGGACGGGGGAGCCCACGGCCACACACCATCTGTCAACCAGACCACGGCTCTATTTTGATCCCAACAGCTGAATCTGCTGGAAATAACGTTGCCATTACAACACCTCAAAGAGAACAGACAAGATTTTAATTGTACCACAGACTTGAAAAATTCAGATTCATTCTCCTAAAGCGGCTTCTTGATTTCCATATCACCTAACTGCTGATATTTTTGGCCATTTCTATATAACAGAAAAAGATGAACTTCCTGCACACAGAATATGTTTTAAGCCCTGTAATACGTGCGTGGTAATCTCAGGTTTCTAACCTGACAGTTCTTTCCTCTAACAATATTCTTCCAAAACCATCGTGAAGATACGGTATTTCCCCCCTTCCTCTCCTTAAACACTGAATGACGCCATTACGCCTCCTAACGAGCTGTCAGGTTTCATCCCAGCGATGGCTGCACTTCAGCAGTAAGGACAGGACTTACCTTTAACCAAAAATACCTCAAGTCAGGCCAAAATAAACATGGTAATTTCAGCACTGTCAGGGATACACAATTCTGTCCTGCCCACTCACAAAACACAGTATTTTTTCAACAGCGTTCCTCCTCGGACCGAAGAAATGCTTTAGACATTTTCATTACAGCTCTAGAAATACCTCTCTGCTTTTCCATATATATGGAAATAGAGCCATGTACAGCACGTTAAAACATCTATCGGCAGAGGACACCGAGCTGGGGGGGAGTGTGGGTCTGCTGGGGGGAGGAGGGCTCTGCAGAGGGACCTGGCCAGGCTGGAGCCATGGGCCCAGCCCAGTTGGGTGAGGGTCAACAAGGCCAAGGGCCGGGTCCTGCCCTGGGGTCACCACAACCCCAGGCAGCGCTCCAGGCATGGGGCAGAGGGGCTGAAAAGCTGCCCGGCGGAAAAGGCCCTGGGGGGGTTGGTGGAGAGGGGGCTGGATAGGAGCCA